CACTAAGTTCATTGTGTTCAAGCAAGCCTTGTCTGATGGACTCTTTCAAATAAGTTTTCACAGTCCATTTGCTCATAAACAAATATCCTCACATGGAGAGCAACAGTATCCTGGTTGGCACTCATTAGTACTCTTGCACCAACATGTGTCAACAAACATGCACAGAACTAAATAATAATAATACTAAGCCCCACCTCATATATAATGCTTTTCAGCCACACAGCTCCAAGTTCCTTACCTAGGAGGTCATTATCATTAACCCCATTTTACAGATGGGTAAACTAGAGGGCACATAGATGAACTGACATGCCCAAGATCTCCCAGCAGTCCAGTGTCACCACTGGTAGTAGAACACAGCATTTCCAAGTCCCAGTCCAGTGCTGTATCCACGAGGTCACATGAGCTCAAATACAAGGAGATAAATACCCTTTTAACTCTATAGGCCATCTCTCAGCACAATAGTGAGGCCACTTGGTGGGGTGGGACTGTCATACTGCTACTGCCCAAGCTATACCCCAATACCTATTCTAGCTATGCAAAAGACTTCAGTTTCCTAGATTGTTGACCTGACACCCTTCAGCAGCAAAACATACACTGTACCATAGGGAAAAAAGCATTTGAGGCAAAGAAAGAAGTTGTCTGTAGTAACATGATAGAAAAAATAAACCACATTTGATAAATTATTCACATAGCCAGTGTCAGGAGGAAAACACATCAGAACAGAAACATGGAATATGTTGGCAGAGAAAATGAGTAGAGGTTACTTATTTTGTTAAGGTTTTTTACTATTTTACTAAGGTTTTACTATTTTAGTATGTTTTTTTTTACTATTATTTTGTTTATTTTACAATAAACTTTAGAATCATTTTAACCAAAAATCCCAGCTGAGGAGTAGTAACAATATCAACTAAAATTGCTTTTGGTATTCAAAGTAAAACTAAGAGCTTCAAACACTGTTTTGAGATTACAAGATTTAGCAGATATAGGATATATGCCTACAGGTCTGGAGTTACCCATATCTAGCCTTATTTAAATAAGGTTTTAATGGTTTAGGCAAAGCATTCCAACCTGGGTGCCTAAAGTTGGGATTCTAAATCCATATTTATGCTCCTGAATAAAAATGACCTGAGTCTGAAAGTTGCTGAGCTCCTGGAGCTCTCCAGGACTTCAGTAGGAGTTAAGGGTACTTGGTAAAGATGTTTGAAAAATGCCAATTATTTGGCATTGGGAATTTAAATAAAAAAATCTTCTTTTCATTTTTGTCACAATTTCCCATTGATTACTCAGTTTTTTTAATGAAAAAACCCCTGACATTTTTGGATTTAAAAATGTTAAAAAATTGTTTTCTGTTTGTTTTATGTAAAAAACCCCCAGAAAGTTATGTCTTTGGTTGGTTGGTTTGTTTTTTGCCTTTTTGCAAAAATCTAAATGACTTTTCATCTAAAACTTTTCAGTGGCACCTCTGAAAATCAACTCACTTCTATTCAGGCATCTAGGTATGGATATAGGGCACCTATTTAGGAAAGCTTTTAAGCACATGCTTAAATCCATCCCAATTCAAGGTAGCAAGGCAGCAGTCTTTTTGTTAGTCTCTTTAATTTCAGAAGTTATAGTTACAAGGAATAGCAAGGCTTTCTGCTAAAACTAGCTATGATAATGAAATAATCCTACTGCATATTGGATATTCTTACTAATTTTAACTTCACAAACAACTTTTCATATGTGACTTCCAGGCATGCCTATAGATTATAGTGAATTAACTTCAACTGTCTATAATCATGAGCCTTGGTGACTCTGCCATTAGACTAAAAAGCAGCTTGAATTGGTTGCCCATTGCATTATCAGCTAGAATTACTACTTCCATGTTTATAGCTGATAGATGAACAAAAAAATCCAAAGAAAAGTACAGTAGTGATCTCAGTAGGGACCAATCCACATTGCTGATGGGAAAAGCTACAGTAGGTTTTTCTTTTGCATTGTTTAAATCTCACAGATTTATACTACCCATAGATAAAAACCCTAGAGTCATACAATTTACACTCACAGTTAGCACCCTAATAAAGAAAAAGGAAATGTATTTTCAGAGGTTTAGAAAAGTTTCTCACAAGAAACTTTGGCTTTCATATCTCAGCTATGCTAGATCTATTTGTTTTCAAATATATTAGGATGTAGTTATTTTTAAAGGTGATGTTGTTACAAAACGTGTATCCTGCATAAACAAAGCATGATTTTTTTTATATCTATTACTCTGCCAAAGCAAAAACATCCCTCCAACCATTGAAAAAGTGCATTGCTAACCTAGAGACTGTTTTTCCCTCCCACATTTCAGTTTTCTATCCGAAATCATGGATGTGCTATAGAGTTGTGGTTTGTGTTGGTGGGTTTGGGGGTTATTATTTTCTATTTCCTTTCAATCTTCTTGCTAGCCAAAATGCCTGAACTCTTTTTTTGCTCAAACTCTCTAAAAATGTCCAGAAACAAGACCTGGAAAGTTTTATCCCCAAAAGAACAAGTTTAGGAAAATCAGCTCAATGAAAAAGGCCCTTTAGAATGGAAATACAGTGAGTAACCTTAACTGTATCTATTACTATTCATGCATTCCAGCCATGACTGGTTATATATATGTTGAGATAAGTTTTTGAAGTAATTATAACTGTTTATAAAACTAAAAAAAAAATAAAGGAATATGGTTTTGGTGTGGCAGTTATGTCTAGGTGATCAGGTTGTTACTGGAATATGAAATGTGAATGATAAAAAAACAACAACAGAAAACATGAGTAGTAATTAGAGATATTACAGACTTTCTTCACACCAGCCCAGCAACAATCTCATTTGAATCCAGCAGCAGGAAGCCTCTTGGAAAGTTGTGTTTTGAGTTCACTTCTTAGCTTCCCCACCCATGTAGAGAGACAAAGAGGTTGCCACTGCCTGAATGGATAGGCAGGAAGGAAGGAAGGAATGAGGTGTGAGCAGGGTACATGTATGCCCAGGTGGAAAGATCAGATAACAGGTGGGGAGCTGGACAGAGTCCCACAGTTCCCATAGAATTTCCTATCTGGCCAAAACCTGGAAAGATATTTAAATATTGTGTTGAAAGCCTAATTTCATGAGATTTCCAGTCTGAGGATTAGCTAAACTCGAGACTGGTCAGTTAGGATACTTAACCAAAGCAAACTTTTGAAACCTCAAGGTTCATAGAATCAGAGAAATGTAGGACTGACAGGGACTTTGAGAGGTCACCAAGTCCAGCTCCATCTTTCACTGGTTGTTCATATGGAGGTGTTCAATGGTCTATTTGAAATATTAGTGGTCTTCTCTGGTTCTTGGTGGACAGGTGACCAGTCCTCCCTCAATCTGTGACAAAGCCTACAGCAATACTTTTATCTAATGACTAGAGAGTGTATTGAATTTAAAGTTTGAATGGCTCTATAAGTGGTCTGCCTTGTGTAAGTATACTTTAAAAGAGTAAATTTTTGATGATCAGAAAGTAGATCAATAAGAAGATTCACTATACAGTCATTCAGCAGAGACTTCAGATGGTTAATAGAATAGCACTGAGTTTTCAGGTCTCTAGATGCCAGATGATGGACTGCATGTCCTATGTGTTTGTCTCAGGAGAGGGAGCGAACAGAGAATAGGAAATAATTGAATAACTCAGAACAGATGAAATCAGATGAGACCTACTTGCCGATGCATTGTGAGTGTGTATCTCCCTCTGACAGGTACGTCTAATGGCAAAGCCACAATGGTCAGATTCAAGTGAGAACACCTACCTTTTAAAAAAATATGCAAGAAAATTATTAGAACACAGTTGATTATTTCTTCATTCATTTCTTATTGAAAACTTTTTGGGCTTCGAGAGCAGTCATGAAAATAATTAGCATATATGTTGTTATGAAGACAACAGCTACAAAAATCCATTTTGAGCAAACTTCCAATCAGTCTTTCTTACCAAACTCCATTTGTGCTAGCTTCAGAGATCACTTATTTTGTCTTTAATTTGTAATTCCTCTCTTCTGCTTCCAAATTGCTCATAGCAGTCTATTGCCAGATCAACCCTAACACCATCAAAGGTATTTCTTTTCCCTTCCAGAAAACCATAATCATGCACTTGACATGAGTAACTCTGGCATAACAAGTTAATTACTATAATAGACATTTAATGTTTATATCCACTATACATAGAAATATGAATACTCCAGGAAAACAACAAGATGCATTTGTACCACCATGTTGCGTTTTCTTTCTCAGTTCTTCATTTTTCTTTGTTTTGCCCCAGTCTGCTTTATCATACAGTCTGCATTGAGAGGATTGGTTATAAATTTTATGCCTGCCACTACAATTCTGTATGGAGCTCTCAAAGAATTTTTACTAGAAATCACTCTGATAATTAGGGAATTTCTGTTGTAAAGTCTGCACCATTGAAGTCACGGAAGTTTTGCCACTGGTTTCAGTGAGAGCAAGATCAAGCCTTTAGTATTGTTCCTAAGAGCTGTGATTAGATTTTCAGTTGGCTACATGTGGAGGTGGTTTCATGATACATTCTGAAAGTATAAGGTTCAGGGAAATTTTCACACATGTCCAAACTCAGCTTTACCGAATGGTGCCATGCAGCAGCGTTGCAATGTTATGACAATGTAAACAGTTACAGATGGTTGGCACTGAGTCATTCCCATCATTCCCAAGATATTTGGCAGCATATACCATGGGGATTTTTTCTCCCTCTCATCAACACTTAAATTTCTGCTAAATCCTCCCCCCCTTTTTTTTTTAGTTCATCCTTACTGTGCTCACACATGGATTAAGTTATTGACATGTTTAATATTCTCTTCTTTTTGTTCATGGGCACTTTAAGTGCTTTTGAGCAGCAAGGAACTGACACTTCCAAAGTTCTTAAAATCCCTTCGTTTTATATCCAGAAAAGCCAGGAAAGCTGCAGATGGCTAAAGCATAACTGTAATGTATATTTTCCTTTTTGTATTGCTGTTTTGTTCATTTAGACACTAGTATGAGTCGATATCACGTCCAGTGGTTCCCAGAATCCTGTGTGCACAATGAAACTAAAGGGCCTGAAAAAGCAACTGGCCTGACCTATGTAAGTTGAAATTCAGTCCCTTGCTTAACTTGAAGTGGTTTTCAGTCATTGGGTATGGTGGGAAAGGAAGAGGGAAGTGATATGTAATAGCATGCAGAATGTTTTATACCTGTCATTGGTACAGTAGGAGTGGGGTTTTTTTACTTCACTGCAGAGTAGTGATATATTTGGCTTTGTTGATTTAACCAACATGAAAGGTAATCTAAATGAATGTACTGCATTCAAATGCTTTACGTGGGTATCTGAAGTGTTCATATTACACTACAAGGCAAACCTGTTTGTACAATGCATATATGCTTATACAGTATCTAGGTCAACAGGGACCTGATCCATGATTAGCACCCCGGGAACCACTACTATACAATTACTGAATATTAATCTAAATAAGCAGCTAGGCTTGTTTTCAGACATAGAGAGGATCCATATGCAAGGCTCCCCCTGAGAAGAGTAAGAGATGAAGAAAAGAGCCTCACATTATAGATGCTAGACATTAACGCTGGAAGATGTAAAGATATCACAGTGATTCTCCATCACTAGCAATTTTAAAATGAAGATTGGATTTTTTTTAAAATATATGCTTTAGTTCAAACAGGAATTAAATTAGGGGAAGTCTTATGGCCTGTATTATGCAGTAAGTCACACTAGATGATCACAGTGGTCCCGTCTGGCCTTACAGTCGATGAGTGGTGCAGTATAAGAACCTGAATAGAAGAGAGAAAGATTCTAAATTACTATAGTTCTGTATAATTAAATATTATATCCCAATTATATTTTAGCAATGGCATTTCTTCCTACTGAATGTATTATCCAATCTGGTACCACTCTACTCAAGTAATATGTTATACAAATATTACATTACTGAAATGTCAAGTCAGTGAATAATGAAGGAAACTCAATATAAGAAAACGTGATCAGCCTTTCTTTTTTACCCTGTGCTATAATAAGAAGTCAACTCACTGAAGTTAATGGCAAGTAAAGTGAGACTAAATCAAAGGGAATAGTTGTAATTTACTGCTGTCAGAGAGTCAAATACTGTACATGGATTTAAAAAGAGGATAGATAATTTTGTAATCAGTAACAACATTTGGAGCTATGCATGCTAAGGTAAGGGAAAGCTAATATAATTAAATAAGTTTATTGCCACTAGAGGTCAGGAAAGATTTTTTTTTCTCCATGAATAGCATTGTACAACTGGCCAGGTGCATTATGGTTTTTTGGTTTTCCTGTAAATTATTTTACAGTGATTAGTCTAGTCTGATTTGGCAAACCCTGTGTTTATTTGTAAGTTCCAATCAATACATTGAGATATTGAATATTATTCTAAAATAGTTAAGAAACTACCTTCAATAAACACATGGTTGCAAAGGGCCTGATGCTGAAAACCATACTTCCTTTGGGTCTGATCCTGCTTCCAGTGATGTCAATGGCAAAACTCCCATAGACTTTACTAGATGTACAATCTGGCTCTTGAATAATCTTAAGTAGGAAATACAGGAGTCAGGTTTGCAGGATCAGCTTCTAATACTGTAATATTCTACTTCCGATATATCCTGAGCAATCTGATGTGATAAATAAGGGGCCTAGTCCTACAGTACTTACTCATGCCAATAGTTACCTCAGCATCAAAGTGGAGATTTGTTTACAAGTGCTGTTCTAAAAGGACTGCACTGGAATGTTTGAGTAATCCATTATTCATGCACTTTTCATGTATGCAGTGCTCCTGTAGCCGTGCTGGTCCCAGGATATTAGAGAGACAAGGGGGGTGAGGAAATATCTTTTATTGGCCCAACTTCTGTTGGTGAGAGAGACAAGTGTTCGAGCTTACACAGAGCTCTTCTTCAGGTCTGGGAAAGGAACTCACAGTGTCACAGCTAAATACAAGGTTTGAACAGATTGTTTAGCATAAGTAGCTAACGCATATTTTAAGGGATCATTCAAGGTGAAGTGGCCTGTTAAAATATGTTGAAATATGTGTTAACTACTTATGCTAAACAATCTGTTCAAAGCTTGTATTTAGCTATGACACTTTGAGATAGTTTCCCAGACCTGAAGAAGAGCTTTGTGTAAGCGCATAAGCTTGTCTCTCTCACCAACAGAAGTTGGTCCAATAAATGATATTACCTCACCACCTTGTCTCTCTAATGCACTTTCCATGTCAGTTATGAGAAAATTTACTTAGCTTAGCTCTAACACTCTTCAGCTGTTTTCAAACACAGAGTACAAAAATTTTAGAAACACCTAAGTACTGTAAAAAGAAAAGGAGTACTTGTGGCACCTTAGAGACTAACCAATTTATTTGAGCATGAGCTTTCGTGAGCTACAGCTCACTTCATCGGATGCATACCGTGGAAACTGCAGCAGACTTTATATATACACAGAGAATATGAAACAATACCTCCTCCCACCCCACTGTCCTGCTGGTAATAGCTTATCTAAAGTGATCATCAGGTGGGCCATTTCCAGCACAAATCCAGGTTTTCTCACCCTCCACACAAATTCACTCTCCTGCTGGTGCTAGCCCATCCAAAGTGACAACTCTTTACATAATCAAGTCAGGCTATTTCCTGCACAAATCCAGGTTTTCTCACATCCCCCCCACCGCCATACACACACAAACTCACTCTCCTGCTGGTAATAGCTCATCCAAACTGACCACTCTCCAAGTTTAAATCCAAGTTAAACCAGAACATCTGGGGGGGGGGGGTAGGAAAAAACAAGAGGAAACAGGCTACCTTGCATAATGACTTAGCCACTCCCAGTCTCTATTTAAGCCTAAATTAATAGTATCCAATTTGCAAATGAATTCCAATTCAGCAGTTTCTCGCTGGAGTCTGGATTTGAAGTTTTTTTGTTTTAAGATAGCGACCTTCATGTCAATCACAGACATGAAGGTCGCTATCTTAAAACAAAAAACTTCAAATCCAGACTCCAGCGAGAAACTGCTGAATTGGAATTCATTTGCAAATTGGATACTATTAATTTAGGCTTAAATAGAGACTGGGAGTGGCTAAGTCATTATGCAAGGTAGCCTGTTTCCTCTTGTTTTTTCCTACCCCCCCACCCCAGATGTTCTGGTTTAACTTGGATTTAAATTTGGAGAGTGGTCAGTTTGGATGAGCTATTACCAGCAGGAGAGTGAGTTTGTGTGTGTATGGCGGTGGGGGGGATGTGAGAAAACCTGGATTTGTGCAGGAAATAGCCCGACTTGATTATGTAAAGAGTTGTCACTTTGGATGGGCTAGCACCAGCAGGAGAGTGAATTTGTGTGGGGGGGTGGAGGGTGAGAAAACCTGGATTTGTGCTGGAAATGGCCCACCTGATGATCACTTTAGATAAGCTATTACCAGCAGGACAGTGGGGTGGGAGGAGGTATTGTTTCATATTCTCTGTGTATATATAAAGTCTGCTGCAGTTTCCACGGTATGCATCCGATGAAGTGAGCTGTAGCTCACAAAAGCTCATGCTCAAATAAATTGGTTAGTCTCTAAGGTGCCACAAGTACTCCTTTTCTTTTTGCGAATACAGACTAACACGGCTGTTACTCTGAAATAAGTACTGTAAAGAACTGAAAATCAATGAGACTTGGAGATCCTAAGTCACTTAGGTGACTTTTGGAAATTTTACCAGAGGCTAGAATTTCTCTTATTAAACTTGCTTTGAACAAAACATGTAGGCGGGGATTTTCAAAAGTATCAGGGCTCTTGTTTAGTTGTTACCTTAAAGATATCATTCTACATATAACGGTGTTTTATTGCTCAGTTGTGGATCCTTCTCTGCTTAGAGGAATAACGTGCTATATCAAAGGGTGGAAATAGGATGTCCTCAAGGAAAGACGTATAAGGCCTTCTTGGGATTTGTATGCACATTAAAAGGAGTTCTTAAATGTAGACTAAACCTGTCTTTCATCTCAGCTTAAATAATCTTCCTTACATTTATTTAATTGGATTAGCATTTTTCATCCTCACACTGCCATTCCCCACTGCCATCATGTCAAGGGAGTGTTCCTTGTGTTAGAAGTTAGCTACTTTGATGCAGCATGACTAAGGTATTGTATAGGATTGAAGAAAGTATCCAACCACCATAATAATGTTTTCTGATTATAATTTAATAATAATATAGGCAATATTTGCTTTGTTCTCTGAATAAAAACCACATTTGCATGTGCTAATCATGTAGAGAAAAATACACTTGACTAGGAAAAAAAACATTTAATCTTATGCCAACATTATGGTTTTAAGAAAAGGTTTATTCGCAGCATATACTGTTTTTCTTGGTCTAGGAAAACTACATAATTCTTCAGGACCTGTCATTTTCATGTAAATATAAAGTGACCATTCAGCCAGCAAGATCTAAAGGTCGTTTGAAGGCTGAAAGTATTTTCTTTACCACCCCACCTTGCTCTGCTCTTAAAGGAAAAAACCACAAGCACATTAGTTGTCCTGCTGAAGGAGGTAAGTCACGGTCTGAAGCACTTGCAGAGTAGATTTCAAGTGCACTTCTAGGCACTCAAAAACAAGTTTTGTAAAGCAATTCTCAAATGTGTTTTGAAAGACTCAGAATAAGTAGGGGAGACTTATTTTTGTGTCTCTGGATGTCCAGGTAATTACCAGGATATCCTGGTAAGTAATGTTTTTCAACATTAAAGAGTCATTGAATTCTTTTAGTAGGAAATTTGTCTAACAAACACTTTCAAAAATTTTCCTTGTTACAAATGCAATCAAATTAAATACACAGGGGTGTAGTTTTACCAACATGACAAGGTTATCATAGTATTGGTTGATCACTTAGATAAGAATTTATGGGGATTATTCAAGTATATATTGTAGCAGTATTATGATTTACATTGCTATTCTTTTTTTAAGGACTTGTTTGTGCTGGAAAGTTTTATCAGTTATACAGATAGAATTATACAAATGTTAGTTATACCTTTATAATCCACCTTGTGAATACTCTTATTCCAGTGTAAGAGTGGCTGTTTTTGGTTTACCTTAACCCCTTTCCCAAATAAGCTATATAAAAATAAAATAAAATTAAAATTAACAAAGCACTTTTATACTGGTATAAATGTCCACACAGAGAGTTATACTGGAATAACTGTATAAGTTTAAATTCAAACCCTAGGTTGTATCCAAAACTATTTTCCTGTGCTGACAAGGCCTAAGGCTGTATGTTTTAATTGCCAGTGCTTTGCACCTTATGTAGTTATTTACACCTTTCCAAAGTGAGTGTAAAATGCTCCCATTTTGAATTGGCAGATTGTATACTACTTTGCATTCACTTTGCACAGGTAAGTGACCAGACAAAATACAAGTCAGTTAATAATCAAGCCATGGGACTATACTATACTTTTTACCAGATGCAATAATGAGAAGTTACCTTAAAACTCTCCTAAATTAGAGTTTATGCTGATCCCTCTTCAGAAGTATCTTTACCTTTAAGAAAAGAGGTTGCAACAAGTTGGCAGAGTCCTGAGTAAACTAGATAAAGAAATGCAATAGACACATCAAGAAGCAGACTGTGACCCTGGGATCTCAAGCTATATTAACAATATTACCAGCAGGACAGTAGGGTGGGAGGAGGTATTGTTTTATGATCTCTGTGTGTATATAAAGTCTGCTGCAGTTTCCACGGTATGCATCCGATGAAGTGAGCTGTAGCTCACGAAAGCTCATGCTCAAATAAATTGGTTAGTCTCTAAGGTGCCACAAGTACTCCTTTTCTTTTTGCGAATACAGACTAACACGGCTGTTACTCTGAAATATTTCAGCTGTTCCTCAAAATTTAACTCATCCTCTTGCCTCAAATTTTTGCAGCATCAGTTCTCCCTAAAGTGCTGGCCAAACCCGAGAATCTATCTGCCTCTTTCATTGTTCAGGAAGTAAATATTACTGGTCACTTTTCATGGAAGATATTAAAGGCAAATCTTCATCAGCCCATGACAGGGTTTCAAGTCACCTGGGCAGAGGTTACTACAGAGAGCAGACAAAACAGCTTACCCAACAGCATCATTTCCCAATCACAGATACTGCCAGCAGTAAGTTTGTTTTCTTTTCATTGCTGGGGGCATTGCATGTTTGTGTGCATGGCTAATTTTGTATTTTTAGTCATGATTTAGCTGCCAGGCACCATTGCTTTCTCTGGTTCCGCATATGTGTCTGAGCAGGAAATGGGTTCACTTTTCCCCCTTGTTTGGGATACATGTCCAGTACAACTGCTCATCTTGATGACACGTCAAACATTGTAATGTGTGTGATTGTCAAATTAGCAACCAAATTTGAGATATGCCTTAATGAAGGCAAAGATCGTCTAGGCAGCAGAAGATATTTTTCTTTTGATGATCAGGCTGCTCTGTTCACAGGATAGTAAGGATTTGTTAATTCTTTGTTCTCCAGGATGAGAAAATTAGTGGAGTTACCCTGAATGCAAGATAATTTCTCTCTCCTTTGTATTAACCTTCTCTCTGCTCCATTTGGATATATGCTTCATGGAAAATAAAGCTCTTCTCCCTTTTCTGCAAATGTGTACCAAGGTATAAAGGGACACATCCTCACACTAACAGAGAGGGGACTAACAAGTTTCTTAGGGCCTGTTCAACACTAACAAGATGCAGCTGTGAGACTTGTTCTGCTGGAGTGGGCGGGGAAAGGGAGGGAGGAGCTTAAAAGGGAAAAGCTGCCTCAGGAAGGGCTGGGGGAAGAGGAAAAGGCTGCCCAGCTGAGAGGGAGATATCAACAAGCCTCATTGCTCCTGAAGCTATGCAACCCAGCCTCAGAGCAGCATGTCCCATGGAGGGGCTGGAGGTAGACCCTGTTTAGACTAAGCTGAAAGGGCTGACTCTGGAAGACTGACTGAGATCAAGGTCACCCTCCCTTCTCTTTAATTTCCCACAGACTCCCCTCTCCCAGAAGGGAAGAAAGAAGGGAGGGAACTTTTCTTTAGTTTGTTTGCTCCAAGAAGCCCCTTGGACATCTCTCAGGAGGTGAGAGAAAGGCATTGCAAGGACCTGAAGCAGGGTCTGGCGGGGACTTGAGGGGATTCCTGCCCCCCTTATAGGAACAGTTAAATAATGGCAATTCAAAATAGAACTAGATCTCTCCTCATATAAAGAGGGAGAAGACTTAACTTGCACTATTCCCCCTTTTCTTTGCAAGGGCTCCTTTGCTGGCTTCAGTTCCTCCCATGGTAGCAGCAGCAGGAGGGAGGATATTCAAGAGGTGTTGCCAACTCCACCAGAGGCAGAGATTGCTACTAAGCAACTAGGGCCTCATCCAAAGCCCAAGAAAGACAGTGGTCTTTACATTGACTTCAGTGAGCTAGATCAGGACAAGTAGCTGAGTACACTTTAAATGCTCTGTCTGTTGCCTGCCAGAAGAAATTTCTGTGCCAGTTCCTGGAATGCTAGGTGTAGCTATCAGGTGGAGCTTACTTTGTGTTTGTGCAGTGTTTGGTTCCACAGATCTTAGTTTAATGCCACTAGTCCAATCCTAGGACTAGTCCGATGGATGGCTGTCTGGTGATTCAGCAGCCAAACTAACTTGGGAAGAAGTTGAATTGAAGGTCTGATTCTCCATTGTATTTCCTTGAGTCATTTACAAGTGTGCATTCTCATTTTACACCTAATCTGCACTTATTTGTCTGGCTGTAAATGATCGTACAAGCTGCAAAGCAGTAAAAAGTCTGGCCCAGGGTTAATTAATATTCCATCTCTCACCACTTCAAAAATGGGATTAAAAATTAGGGGCCAGATCATTAGTCTGGGTAGCTGAGTGGATCTGTACTAATTTTCACCAGCTGAGGCTCTTGCCCTTGACTCAAAAAGGGCATGAGTTTACAAATCAATGGCAACCAAAGTCAGACATTGGCTTCTATAAAATATTTTATGAGACGTACAATGTACTTGTTCACTGAAAAAAAAAACCCATAAAACCTAGAAATAAACTCCATTCATGGCACTGACACTTTAATTTTAGGAAACCGACTAGAAAATTGAAGTTGGAAGTATCTGGAAGTGGAATCACAAAATGTACAAGTGAAATCTTAACTGTAGGGAAAGCTGTATTTTAAGGGAAAGGGGGGGAATATCCTATAGGTGAACTCAACAGATATGTTTACACTAGAAACATTACAGCTTCAGGGCTGCAGCTGTGCCACGGTAGCACTGACTCTTACTACAGTGACAAAGGGTTCTTCCGTTGACCTAGCTGAGTCTACACTAGGGTCACGGTTGGCTTAACTACCTCTCTCATTGGTATGAATGTAGCTAGGTTGACCTAAGATCTAAGTGTAGACCAGACCAGAGAACTGGCTTTATTTCCAATTCTTGCTCTGCCAAGTATTTTTTGATACCAACTCTTTAGGTATATGATAACCAAACCAAAAGAGTAGTGAACTAAATAATAAATGTACAAAATCTTTAATATAAAACCTTAAGAAAACAAGCTGTGGGAATTGCAACACGGTTTTTAAAGAAGTATGTATGTGAGGAGAAAAAAAGTATCTACTTAATGTACAATTTCCGGATGGAGCAATTGTCTATTATTTCTGGTAGACATAAGAATTTATTCCATTCATACATTTTTAGGATCATTATGTGCTGACTGTCCCCAACCTGAGGCCATCAACGCTTTACCGATTAGAAGTGCAAGTGCTGACAACAGGCGGGGAGGGGCCAGCTACAATAAAATCTTTCCGAACACCTGATCTGCTGCCATCTTCATCCCACAGTAAGTGTTGTGACCTGACATAAAAGTATTTGGACTAGTGTATATGCAGAGAAAGGCACTTAAAACATTGTCTACCGCAACAATTAAAACAAAGTCCTGGGGTTCTACTGCTCTAACCCTTTATACAGTGAGTAGTCTTAAACTGTTCTGTTTTTAGAGATATTATGGATTCCAGGGATATTCCCTATAACTAAAATGGAGAATCCTGCTGGAACGTTTAATGGCTCTGAAACCAGAATGAACTTCTTAATTGCATCCACTGTATATTTACTGCACAGTTTTTGTTGTATTTCCCCCATATATAAATACGTATAAAAGGAAAGTGAACCCAATAATTTTAGAATATTTAGCGCGTAAATAATGCTAGTGTTTCTCATAATCACTTTCTTCCCTCTAATGTAACACTGCAAATTTGCACAAGGTTTACTACAAACAATGGCTTAAAAAAAATTCAGAGCCACAAACTGCTAACCAAGGGACATTGGTAAATACTCTGTTATGATATCTAATGCTCAGTTACACAAATATTGGTTCAGGTTAAAAACAAACAATCTGCCTATTTGGTATTATAGGCTAAAATGGTAGCTCAGATTATCAGTCTCCAAAACCTGTTAAATCCAGGTTCGTTCTTTCTTTCTTTCTTTCTTTCTTTCTTTCTTTCTTTCTTTCTTTCTTTCTTTCTTTCTTTCTTTCGGGGGAAGGGGGGAAACTGCAAAAAGGTAGTTTAAGTGATCTGGTGATATTACCTCAGGGTCATGTCGAGGCCATTGCAAAGTATTGTAGCGAAGAAACTACACGTGTGCACAGCCAGTGCATTGCTTTGTGAGAAATCTGTGGATAAGAAATCTGGGATACAGAGGTGCTGTAGAGAGAAATGCAAGTAGTAAATCACTGGCTGAATTTAGGAATGAAGGGTTCTACAGCAATCAAAGGTTTAGAATACAGAGTATCTGACTTCTTGGTTATCTTGAAATCCAGACTAGATTAGAAGTGATCCAAAGCCTGTACCGTGTCCTGACTTTCTGATGACCTATATGCAACACTTAAGAGGTGCACAATTAGTTCTTATCAATGTTTCCAGTCAACGCCCTGAGTTGTAGAGTATTTGCCACTGATTTCAACTGAAGTTTACATAGTAATATATGAACTGTGGTTATTTTCTTCTCCCCCACAAAGACTATGCCCCCAAGCCATTGCACATTATTTCAGTTAATATTGTAAATTGATTGCACAATATAAACAAAAAAGGCAAATTATATTACTCATTAGACAATAAATGCTACCTACATTTATTTTTGCCCACATTTTAATGCAGTTAGATTTTAAGAAGCTGCTTACAACAAAATACTATTTTCTGAGCATTTAGAATAAGGCAGTTTAATTTTATGGGAACCCAAGAAATATCAAAGAAATTCGTCCTGATCCGACAAAATAATTGACCTGCTTGGATCCTTCCACCCTTGCAGAATTCCACTGAAGTCATATGAACAGTGCGTGGGCGTGTGTCAGCACAGGCAGAGTGTTTTGCAGGTTCAGGGCCTTGTATGCAATTACTCCACTGAAAGGATGGATGGTCCAGTGGCAAACTGGGCTGTAAGAAACTCCGCTTCTAGTCTTGCTCTGCTGCAGACATTCTGTGTAAGTCACCTGGTCTTTCAGTTCTCTGCCTGTAAAAGGGGGCTAACAGCACGGCCCTGCCTTATAGAGGGGTTGTGGGGATAAAAGCGTCAAAGATTGGGAGGTTCTCAAATAGTACGGTGATGAAGGCCTAATTATTTTATCGTCTATACAGCAAAGGTGAATTCCCTTTCTTCTTTACTTAGGGCCTCATCTGAAACAGCACCATCCACATCACTACAAGCCACCCCCAGAAAAATACTAGACTGCTTCACATAATTAAACAAATCACTGAGAGAAAAACTGAGCTCTCACAAGAAGACCAGAAAAATTCACATCTGTAGGAACAATAAATCGTTTTTTTCCAGTGGAAGTTATCATCCTGTATGATTTGTAACTACTTCTACATAGTTTAAGCATGAAGAATAGTATTTGTACCAATGCCAGGATGAAATGTACAGCAACTATCCTGACAGTACCACCCCTATTCTGCTAAGTGAAGATTGCATCCAATTCAACACATCTGAGAAAAATCAAATGTATGTTTGTTGTAATAACATTTTATTTCCTAGGTTTAAAGTAGATTGAAAGGGTGCAGTGAATAGCAGAGGGTTTTGTTTTGCTAATCTTTATAACAATATCTGAGACATTGTTCTTTTATATATACATAGCTTTGAAAGCCAGAGGCCAGATCTTCAGCTGGGGTAAATTAGCATCTGTCACTTGAACTCAGTGGAGCTGAGCCAATTTATGACAGCTAAACCTATACAGTAAATGCAGTTTGCCATTAAAGGAGATCTCCATTTACCTAAAATAAGTGCACAACCAAATAAGTAGCAATAATAGATGCACACAGTTCAGTCTGCAATGGAAACTACTATTAACTTAGCAACAAAAAAAGTAGATCATACTAGCTGATGTATTTCTTTAGTAATATATCTATATTTTGTGTGGAAATGGTACCATGAAGTTCTCTTCTTAACAAAATGTGTTAACAAGGGAGATTTTCAAAGGCACAAATGGCAGTTGGTGCCTGACTTCCATTGATGTTCTGCAGTAGCTGGACACATGCCTTTGAAAATCTCCCCCATTTTTATTTTTAATATTTTGAAGGGAACCCTGTATTTTCCCTGTTAGAGAACTAAATAGTGAATGTTCACATTTTAGACATGAACATTTCAAGGCACATGTTATGTTACTTTGGGGTTTCTTTGGCTTTTTGATGTGCATATCTATTTTCCCCGAGGATCTTTTGAACAGCAGAATGGATGTGCTGGCTACATGGTACTCCGCTCATAGAATTAAGTGACAATACATTGATGTCTGGAAGTCATTGGCTTGTAATTTATTTGAATGCATTTTTCAAATTCAAGCATGAAGGTTACCCTGTTTTTTAACCATAAGGGAATGCAGATGACCTTATTGTGCAATGTAAACAGAGTAATTTGCCACACAGAGAGACAGTCTTTAATAGTAAAGAGAAACTGCTTGGATTTATAATCAGAATGATGGGAAATTTCTCTCTACAAATAATCCTGATGACGCAACCGCTTGTCCAAAAAATTGCTGTCTGTGCATTCTCATGTGTAAATTCTCTCTCTACACACTGTGGCCATGCAGATAATCCTGATGACGCAACCTCTTGTCCAAAAAATTGCTGTCTGTGCATTCTCATGTGCAAATTCTATTACCCATCTTTAAATGAGGATAATACATCTCAAGCTTTCTGTAACTTGAAATTCACAAATACCTTCATGGAATCCCCCAACTACAAGCACCACAAAAATGAACCCAAATCTGACTAAAGATAAAGTTTCTGTACTTGACTTCTTCCTGAGATACCCCAAGAAGGGGAAATACTCTTTGTCACAACAACAATAAATATTCTGAAGAACACCAAATAAAAAGATAAACATATCTGTGCTTGAAACTGAAAGAGCATGGTTATGCTCAGTATAGCATAGCACAGAAGAAATTCAAATACAGATCATCTATATAGAAAAGGTTTGACCAGGCTGACGATACCAAGAGTCAAGAGCCCCATTGCAATTTCTGACTATTTTTTTCCTTCAGTTTTTCCAGCATTCGAATATTTTTTTAAAAAAAAAAAGACAACTCAGATTACTGCATTAATTCTACCATTCTCTTTCTATTTTTCCTGGTACCTTTTTGATTTATGCACCCATGGAGCAAATAACTTCACAAAGCTGTCTTTAGGGTACAAGTCTTGGGCCTTGGATAGTTACTTTACGAGGTATTAAGAGCTGTTCATACTTTGGAACTACAAAAAAACAAACAAACGAAAAAAAGAAACCCACCCCACATACCACAACTTCTCTTCCCTATCACATAATGTGAGCAAGCTTTGAAGGGAACTGGAACTGACAGTAGACAGAAGGTCAACTATTTTCACCCAGCTGAAATCTGACATGCATCTAGGTACACAGGTCTTCAGACATAAATTACTAAGTCTATGCAATTTGAATAGGACCAATGCCTGGCACCACTTATATATTTAAATTACATAGGACATAAGTAAGGCTAGGAAAGCGCTATGGGAGTTAGATTGTGGCACCTAATTCCCCTAGGTTTCTCTGAAACATTCAGCCTAAACTTTTTGGCCAGACTCTCTTCTCAGTAATGCTGGAATAAATCTAGAATAAATTGACTGATGTTAACGAAGTTATGCTGAATTCACATTGATGCAACTGAGTGCAGAATTTGTGTCTCTGTCTTTTTTAAGCCAACGTCTATGACAAACCTTGGATTCAAGAAGATAGAAATTGGCAAATTAACAGCTCTTGATTATTATATGAAAGGTCTTGATTATTGAGTGGAATGCCATATTTCTCAAAATGGTTTGAGCTGCTTGCTAGATTTGTTGTTTTTTCTTAATTGGATGTTTCAGGAGGAGACTAAAGTTCATTCAAATATTTATAAAATAGTCTGGAGGTTTTTATATATTTATATAAAGATAAATTATTTATTATAGGATCAATCAGCCGAACTCAGGCAAAACTGTCATTGAAGAACTGCTATTGAATTTTGCCTGAGTAAGGCTAGTAGGATTTGACTCTTTATATCTTGGAGATAAAGGTGAAGGGCATGGGAGTGGAATGAACAGATTATAGTTTATAAACAGATTAAGACTTTAATCTTGCTCTTTAATAATCAGTTCCTCAACTCAACATTCAGCTATAGAAATTTCATGGGAATAAATGATCCTGAAATTATAAGAGTCAACCAAACCATCAACAAATGGGACATTAGATTATATCTTCTTTGTTCTTAAATATCAGCCATTTTCATATAATTATTTGAATTTAACATCATATATTTGAAGACTTTTATGCCTAGATCCAGTTGGAGTTAGGCACCTCAGTACCTTGAGGATGTGGGTCTTAGTGTCTAATTCATAAATCCTCATTTACTGAATTGCACAGGGTATATTACAGTTCACCTATTTGACTAGCCTAAATCATGCTAACATTGCATTCAGCAATGGAGTTTGAAATCACTACTTGAGATTTTTAGTTAAAGATTTTTTTCTCAGTTTTTCTCAGTTTCTCAGTAATAAAGGTCAAATATGGATAGTGGGATATTTCTAGGTACGCTGCACTTTTACACCCATATATTACTAACTTACTTAGCATACTATTCTGATTGATTTATCAGTTAAATCCTGGATGACATATATTTTGTTTGCTAATGGAAAATTATAGGATTATTCCATTTTTGCTCTAACATTTTTTTATGCATTTGAAACTAGTTTTTACATTGAATACTGTTTAAGAATGAGAATTTTTTTTCTTATGGCAGTTAATTTTTGATAGAGCAGATCAAGAACTAGAAAATATTTCTGTCTTAAAACTTAAAAGGAGAAAGGTAGAACCATACTAATAGGGTGCCAGGTGGTGTTCACTGGGAATATGGCGGAAGGAGACAAGAACTTCTTACAAATAAAAGGGCTGCATTGCAAGATACTAAACACCCTCAACTTTCATAGCATTCATCTGGAGTTGAGGGCACAATGCAGCAACTCATGGGTGGCACTAGTACCTTGCAAGATCACGCACAAAATCAAAGAAGCAACTGGTCTGGTCTTGCGCCATTAATGCAAATGGAAATTTTACTATTGCCTTCAGTGGAAGCAGGATTGAGGCTGACATACTCCATGGGCCTAATCTGAATTCCTTTCCTACCCAAGACTCTCACTGAAATCAATCAGAGTTCTGGATATAGAGGTCCTGCTTCAGGAAAGCATTGCTATTCAGGACAGAACTTAAGCACATGTTTAACTGCATTGATGTTAATAGAACATAAGCACATGTTTAAATTAAACATGTGCTTAATTTCTGTCTTGAATAGGAATGGATTTAAGCACTCCCTTAAGTGCTGTCCTAAATCAGCGCCTTAAAGAACAAAGGATAAGGTCCAGACTGTTTTAAATCCCTTTTACAACACTCTTGGAAAAATTTATTTTTGCCCTATGTATCTGTAAAGGTAGCTGTGATAGTGACATATTTATTAATTCCTTTTCTTTCCCTGTATGCCAAGTATATTCTGACATTTTTATCAGTACCTGTGAACATCAATTAGTATAAATACTGTTATGCAAACTTGTGCATTGTAACCTGGAATCTGATGCTAATAAGCTGTTGCATGTAGTTTAAATAAATAACTAAAAACTTTATTTAAAAATGTAAATGAATACCTGCAGATGTGGATGGTGGTTATATATGGTTTTGCATGCCCAAACTCATTGTTCAGTTATAGGCATGAAGTGTAATGACTGTCTTAGCTCTACTGAATATATTAGTAAGGTACAATTTACAAAGTAATTAACAGAGGTCTATATGTGAAATAATTTTTCCTTTTTACTTAATGATATTGTAATGCAGAGATGACAGAACTACTTATCTGTTGCCCAAATTGGCTGTAGAAATTATGTTCCTATAACTGTCATTTAAAGTCAATATTTATTTATGTATGTAATACAGAAAGGTTGATTTTTGTGTATGTGTGTGTCTGTCATGTTATTTAGAGCAAAAATGCTTCTTGTAAAAACATTTTGTAAAAAACAAATGTAATTGTAAATAGAGTATGATATTCTGTTACTCGGTATTTTCATGTTTAGAATTTGTACATACTGTTTAAGTAATAAACTATCCTGCTATGTGGAAATGTAGCTTTATTATCTCCTGCAGACAGAGCTTATGCTTTTGCTTCTATTAATTCCTAGTCTTATCCTCTTCTTCCATAAGTCGGCTTCAAACTGCGTATCTTTTCTGTGTCCATGTGTCTCATATCAGGTTCTGGAGAATGTTCATGAGAGAGCATCCTATTTTAATTAAGTATTTCAGAGCTTGACAGTCATCACCTCACAAGGCTTTCATCACATTTGGAATCATTTTTTATAGTGTCAAAGCAGAAACCGTTAACACCAACTTCTGCAGTATCGTGGTTTTTTACTTTTGGAAGTGGTCTCAAAAATCTCACACTACATTGGGATTTCACATGAGGGCTTTATATTCTGAAACAGTTACTTTCCGGCTACAATCCTTCAGTAGAAAAATTCAACAGTGTTGCTGTTTAATATAAGAGAACACAGTGACACAATTCATTCACCTTTGCTTTTTACAAGTGGATAGAGGGGGAAGAAATGAAAATGTTACCCATTATAAACCAATGGCTTGACCCTGCGAACTTTCCATATATGAAACTTCCAGTGAAATCAATTGGAACTCCATGAATGATGGGCTTCTGAATTTGATCCCATTTTCCCATTGTTAAAATTATATTATTTTAATTAAAGCAAACATCTAGCTTGCTTCAATATCAGGGTTAGACCATTAAAAGTGAAGGAGTCTCTCCTTCATCTGCAATACTATCGATCAGGGATCTACAACCTTTGGCACGTGGCCCATCAGAGAAATCCGCTGATGGGCCGGGACAGTTTGTTTACCTGCAGCGTCCGCAGGTCCAGCCAATCGCAGCTCCTACTGGCTGTGGTTCGCCATTCCAGGCCAGTGGGGCTGCGGGAAGCAGTGTGGGCCAAGGGATGTGCTGGCCATCACTTCCCTCAGTCCCCATTGGCTTAGAATGGTGAACTGCGGCCAGTGGGATCTGCAATTGGCCAAACCTGCGGACGCTGCAGGTAAACAAACCGTCCCGGCTCACCAGCGGATCTCCCTGATGAGCTGCGTGCCAAAGGTTGCCGATCCCTGCACTAATACATGTTCTGCTCCACATTCACTTAGGAGAGATGATGCTATTGTTTCCAACTAAGGGTATATCAATGATACTTGTCAGTAAAGGTGCTTGGATAGTATGGTAATGGGGGTTGGGGAGGGAAATAAATACTTACATAGAGGAGAAAGCAATGAGCTGTCATCATTTATCAGGTTTTTCTGCAGCTATTATACACAGACTACATAAAGGATAACAAATTAGAATCCATTCAAATCCCAGAAAGCTCCTCTCTCAGTAAAGATAAAAGCTTAATTGCAGCTGATCTTCAAAGTATTTTCATTGCATTGCACTACCTCATGAAGAAAAGAAATTTTTACTTCTCTTTTCTTCTTTTCACAGGTGTTGTATTGTCATCACCTAGATAAATGCCAGCCTCTCTGAGGAAGGCCTTAAGCCAAAATACTGGCCTTTATCCACTCACCAACAATGCAATACCAGTAAAAGAAATACACTATGAAGTGCAGTCAAAGTGTAAAATGCCAGTTGACTTGATGGAAGTGTGGTTCAGTGTCTCATAATAGGATGACCCCTATTTGCACTATTTGCAATGGCCTCCCTTGTTTGAAGATTTGAATATTGGCCATGCTAACAGCCTACAATAAAATAAATAATAAAAGATTTGGAGGTGCAGACTGAAACTTGATGCAACTATTTGATTGAGAGTGCAACATGCTTCCAGCTCTGAACAATTTCTGATTACATGCTTTAAGAATTTTTCACCTATGATGACTCCTTCACGAACGGAGACCATTACATGGACAATTCTAGCTTTTTCAGCAGCCAAGTTTTTGATTAACGGATGCCTCAATGGTATATTCCTGTTGAATCATTCTCTTCTCAGTTCTTCAAATCCTATGCTTTCTCCCAAGACATTTTCTCCACCTCAAATTCAGGTCAACTTTTGGGAACAATATTGAGATATTCCAACTCCACCTAAGGGAATAATTTGTAATGAATCATATATTTGGTGGATTAAACTCTATTTTTCTATTCGCAAGTTGTCTAGGAAAAGAGTCTGATTTTTCTCAAAATTTATTGATTCAAAATTATTTGTCAGATAATTTCTACAAACGATTCTTGTTTTGTTGATGGCCATGACAAAATAGTTCATTGCAAGTAGCCAATATTCTAACTGAATCATTGAGAAATTTTGTTTAGACATATAGGGTCAAGTTGTTGGCTAATATACATGGTCAAACCGCACTGAAGTCAATAGAGCTGTGCCCCTTTACAAGAGTAGAAAACATGGTTTAGAGATCACACAGTATGTTTGTTTCCTTATGGGGGTGGGGTATGTGATGGGTGCCTACCCCACACAAGGCCTGAGTGGGTAAAAAGGACCAGTTAACCCTGTGACAGGCTACACCTGGAAAAGAGTCAGGGTTGATAAGCTTTAAGTGATAATGAAGCCCAGCTGGGCAGGGGCAGTCTGAGCTGCTGTAAAATCAGAAAGTCATGTGTAAGAAGGGGGCTGCAGTACAGAAGGCCTGAAGCCACACTCTGGGCTGAGGGAGGGAAAGGAGGAAACCAGGGGGAAATAGAAGCCCTGGGATCCAGGGAAGGGTGTACCCAGATGTGGGTAGAGAAGGCGCCTGATAGAGGTGAAGTAAGAAGTAGTCTGGGGGGACAGCAGCATGGTTTGGGACAGTATGCAGACCTTGGCTGCTGGATGTAGGATCCCCAGGCTGGAAGCTGGAGTCGTGGGTGCGCCCAGGTATCCCCTGCCAGCCCCTGGGGCTGTGGCACAGGAGTAGGCAGTGGATAGGAAGACTGCCTAACACAGTCATCCAGCTGTGATACCCTGGAATGGGAGACCTCTGGTGAGCGGGCTGGAGGGCCAAACCCTGAAGAGGGAGCACCCTGAGGGTATGTCTACACTACGAAATTAGGTCGAATTTATAGAAGTCGGTTTATTAGAAATCGGATTTATATATTGGAGTGTGTGTGTCCCCACAGAAAATGCTCTAAGTGCATTAAGTGCATTAACTCGGCGGAGTGCTTCCACAGTACCGAGGCAAGCATCAACTTCCGGAGTGTTGCACTGTGGGTAGCTATCCCACAGTTCCCACAGTCTCCGGAAATGAGATTCAAAAGTTTGCGGTTCTTTTCCTGTCTACCTGGCCAGTACATCTGAGCTGAGAGTGCTGTCCAGAGCGGTCACAATGGAGCACTCTGGGATAGCTCCCGGAGGCCAATACCGTCAAATTGTGTCCACAGTACCCCAAATTCGACCCGGCAAGGCCGATTTAAGCGCTAATCCACTTGTCAGGGGTGGAGTAAGGAAATCGATTTTAAGAGCCCTTTACGTCGAAAAAAAGGGCTTCATCGTGTGGACGGGTGCAGGTTTACATCAATTTAACGCTGCTAAATTCGACCTAAAGTCCTAGTATAGACCAGGGCTGAGTGATGAAGAGGGAGCTACCTGACTCCAGAGAGAGCGAGAGAGCAAGGCCATGGGATGAGAAACCAAAGGAGGGGTATCGGACTGGTTCTTAGCTAATCCCCGATGAGCCACAAGGAGATACCCCAGCAGTGAGTACTGAAGCTTGTGATAGAGGGTCAGGTTTCCAATGTGAATACTCACTGATAAGTCTCTGCCCACAAACATTCAAAGTCAGGTTTAAAATCTCTTTTCAAACATATTCTGTAACATTTGCTTTCAATTTAAACATCACAGAATCTCTGTGAATATGTCTGCAAGTATTACATAACTTCTTAGCTAGAAAACTCAGAAGATGAGCACAGAAAGACAGGGAAAGTGAGCAAAAACAATAGCAGCAGAATTCCTCTATTTGCAATAACATTTCTGGGAAACTGCAGTATTCACTTAGCACTATGGCCCACACTTCTAGTCTACGTTGTGCATCGGCTTTCTTTCTTTTAGAGTTTGCATTGGAAGCTTGCTGTGGGAAGCTAATGTTAATTCTTGTGAAGCCCCTTTTATAGTGTCCTTACAGCACAATGTTCACTGAACCTTAGAGAACCATGTGCAGTTTTCCTTCCTGGAACAGAATTCTTGTGTAGGTTTCTTGTATTTGGCTTACTGCATAGTATTTGGCTAACTGACATAACCTACTTTATTGAAGGGCCTAATCCACCACTGAGTTACTGCAGTTTTACAAAAAAAGAAAAGGAGTACTTGTGGCACCTTAGAGACTAACCGATTTATTTGAGCATAAGCTTTTGTGAGCTACAGCTCAGTTCATCGGATGCATTCAGTGAAAAATACAGTGGGGAGATTTATATACATAGAGAACATGAAACAACGGGTGTTACCATACACACTGTAACCAGAGTAATCACTTAAGGTGAGCTATTACCAGCAGGACTTTTTGTAGTGATGATCAAGGTGGGGCATTTCCAGCAGTTGACAAGAACGTCTGAGTAACAGTGGGGCGTGGGGGGAATAAATATGGGGAAATAGTTTTACTTTGTGTAATGACCCATCCACTCCCAGTCTTTATTCAAGCCTAAGTTAATTGTATCCAGTTTGCAAATTAATTCCAATTCAGCAGTCTCTCCTTGGAGTCTGTTTTTGAAGTTCTTTTGTTGAAGAATTGCAACTTTTAGGTCTGTAATCGAGTGACCAAAGAGATTGAAATGTTCTCCCACTGGTTTTTGAATGTTATAGTTCTTGACGTCTGATTTGTGTCCATTTATTCTTTTACATAGAGACTGTCCAGTTTGACTGATGTACATGGCAGAGGGGCACTACTGGCACAGTGGTGGCAAATATCACATTGGTGGATGTGCAGGTGAACGAGCCTCTGATAGTGTGGCTGATGTGATTAGGCCCTATGATGGTGTCTCCTGAATAGATATGTGGACACAGTTGGCAACGGGCTTTGTTGCAAGTCTAGTTTCCTGGGTTAGTGGTTCTGTTGTGTGGTGTGTGGTTGCTGGTGAGTATTTGCTTCAAGTTGGGGGGCTGT